CACAGACCTGTCATCATATTAATATACTTGAGTTTATGTAGAACTACAAGTACCTCTATACACTACTGACCAAATATACCATTCTTCCTATTACCAGCCAGAGAAGCTGACTTGTCCCAATACGTGCTCTGTGCTAGGTTGATGACTTGTATGATCCCAGCCCTGCCTTCCTGTCCTGGGAGTAGAGTAACGATGGGCAGGACTGCTCAGCTGTTCTTTGTGTATAGTAATGGGGGCACTTACCAGTCTGGTTTCGGATTTAGGACGTGTGCAAGGTCCTGCCCACCTGCCTTTTAATATGTTAATGCTTGTATTATTGGAGTGCTGCCCTGATCAGCTGTTCTCTGTGTACAGTAATCAGGAAACCTTTTCATTGCAGTGTTTGCTATGGGTCAGCTCTGCACCCTGCTGATCAGGGACACTCCAAGCAGAGTGGGAATCTACCTGCAGATCTCTTTTTATAAACGTACAATGGGCAGTTGGGGCTCTTCACAACCAGTATTATAATTAGTGTCCTGCTCAGTCCTCCTACCCCTCTCTCCATACACTTCATGTAGCAAGTACAGAGAGAACCCTGCACCAAATATTACAACTTAGACATGCAAAACGTGTAGTTAGAACCCTGCACCAAACTATACAACACAAACATATTACGGATATAAAAAGAACCCTGCACCAAACTATACAACACAAACATATTACAGGTATAAAAAACCCTGCACCATTACAGGTATGAAAAACCCTTCACCAAACTATACAACACAAACATATTACGGATATAAAAAGAACCCTGCATCAAACTATACAACACAAACATATTACAGGTATAAAAAACCCTGCACCATTACAGGTATAAAAAACAAACCCTGCACCAAACTATACAACACAAACATATTACAGGTATAAAAAACAAACCCTGCACCAAACTATACAACACAAACATATTACAGATATAAAAAACAAACCCTGCACCAAACTATACAACACAAACATATTACAGGTATAAAAAACAAACCCTGCACCAAACTATACAACAGTCATATCACCCATATAATAGTGAGAACCCTGCACCAAATGATACAACCTAAGACATATAACAAGAGGACTGCACCAGTAATACAACACAAACGTGTAATAAGTGTAGTGGGAACCCTGGACCAAATACAACACAAACATATAACAAGTAGTGAGAAGCCTGCAGAAAATCCAACATTTACAATTAGACCCTGCACCATACAGTACACACTTGTAATAAGTATAATGAGAACCATGCACCTAATAATACAACACAAATCTGTATAGTGAGAACCATGAACCAGATGATGTGATGTAAAACAAACGCAAACACAACCTAACAGACATTAGTTTATTTTTATTTACTAAGAATTCCCCTGTAACTTAGGAGTTTAATGTATGTAATCGTTGTGTTTTTTAGTACGTTGTAATTATTATTGGATTTCGGTTTAATAACGCACACTTTTTGTTCGATCATGGATCATGTGGATTTTATATAGAACAATCATATCGTTTAATGTGTCGCAATCTTACGGTCTTTGAAATGTATCGGGTTCACTGGTTTATCGAAATTCGTTAAATGTTTGTGACTTTTATTAATGCATTTCTTATCTGTTAAATGTATATATATTTTTAATGATACGTTTAACATAATATATGTGTGTAGATATTTATATTCTGTGTGTGTACAATTTGGGGTATTGATGTACTTTTACATCGGATGCGCCTTCAATACTCCCTACCATATTTCAAGGTGTTATAATTATACGTTTTTCATATTATTTCATACAATATCTCACTGGCAACAGAATATGTGCAAATCTATGGCTCAGATGGGAGCACAAGGAACTTTTTTTCTACAGATTTTGGGAAAAAAAAAAAGTCGGAATTAATATTCAATGGGTCTATAGATTTCTGCAGCTGTGTATGAAGTGTTGGGTGTAAATATCATCGAATCGTCTCCTTAATTCAAGTAATCAGCACGGAGATCAATAGATTTTAATTGCTGATCTCTCCCATGCAATATGTCAGATAAAGTGCTGCACCCGTGTGATCATTATTCAGCACCCCCAACAGCGACAGCAAGGATGATAGTGTATGCACATTCGTGTAAGATACTGTGTATGTCTGTGTGTGTGTGTATATGTATGTGTAATATATATATATATATATATATATATATATATATATATATATATATATATATATATATATATATATATATATATAATATTTCCAGTATATGGAATTATTTGTAATAAAGTTGATTGATATGACTTGGAAGCAGATAATTTATTGTAAGTCGGTCAGTGGACTCTCCAGGGGCCACACTTAGATGAAGCCTGATTGGCCAGTAGCTGGCAGCTAGGTGGGTGGGAGGGGGCAGATGCTGCTAGGATTGAGGATGGACTTCTGGTCTACTGTAGCCCCCTCTCACCTCCTCCCTCCTTCTACTTTGACTTCCCTTTTAACCCATCTGCCTTGTTTTGCCTTCAAACACAAGGCAGAACCCACATCGCCAGCATTCTACTCACCACCACCATCCCCCTGATCCCAGAGCTGGAGATTGGACAACATCAGCCATAAGATGTGATTAAACCCACCCAAAACTAGGACTGAAGTGGGATTTGAGGACTGCACTCCCTGTGAAGCTTCTCTGCAGATCTGGAGGATTTATATCACAGTGAGTACCACATACCTATGGATGGAATCTAGACATCCGTGCTGATCTAATAAAGTTAAAGGAGTTTTCAGCTGCTCCTAAGTGTCCAGTGACCAGCAGAGCCCCCCAGCTCAGGGGTGTCAATGCTTTCTTTTTAATGTGGAGAGATGTGTTCATTATTTGTGACCTTTCCTCTGACCTCATGTTCTGCCATGTGTGTGTCACGACCCCGTTTTGTTTCTTGTATTGGCTGCCATTGATCAGGACCATTAGGTGAAATTCATGAAGGTTTCCTCCTCTCCTCTGCTCCACATTCTCTATTGATCATTAGAAAAAGGTTATTTTAAGCGGAAACACACAGACTGGTTAAGCCGGCTGTTTACAAATATTTGTCTGTATGGATTGGATGATGTCCTTTTTCTCCGGACATAGTAAAAAGAAAAAAAATTGATCAAAAGATCAGCTAAAATCGAGTTTATGGTGGTGATCTCATGTTTAAAAAAAAAAAAATAAACTGCATCCTACTTCCATAATGTGCTTTTACATGTGTTTTGGTTTATGTATTTTTTTAATGTCTTCATATTTTTTTATATGACGAAAATAGATTTATTAGCGTTCTTAATTGGTCAGACATGTAGTATCTTATTATTTTTTTAGTAGTTCTGTAATTTTTTGTTTGTTTTTAAAATTTACATATAACTGATTTGTGGTAATTATTCAGTAAAATCAGTAAATTTTCTGTTTTTTTACAGTTGTGATTGTTATAAATAAAAGTAAAACCAGAAAATACACAAATTTAATTGTAACAGAAAAATCTTATCTGATCTAAACTGCCACAAATCTACCTAGAATATGTACACTATGAAGGCGGTGAATGTTAATTTCTGGTTTGTCCATTTTGTTCGTATTAAAAATAGCAATAGTTAAAAAAAAATAGTGATTAGTCATTATAAAACTTCATTAAGTAATTATCCGACCACTTCCATAATAATCTGTTTTATTCTCCCCATTTTTACTTCTTAATGTTAGAGATACATATATAAGTAAAGTAAAAATTGTGTACAAATATTCCCCCTCCAATATCTGCTGGCCCCAGGCTTGTCTTATCACTTGATTCAAAGCGATCACTATAAAAAATCATGTATATGGGCAGATTGTATGATATCTCATGTGCAGGATCACGATCCAGTTGAAGATTTTCCATCCAATGTAGACTGAAAATTACCAATCACGAGTTGTACTTGCTGCAGTTTTTCGAAATAATTCCTGTTTAACAAAACTTGCCTGTATAACACAGGACTGGGACTTTTTTTTTTTTTTTGAAAGAAACATATTAAAATTCTGAAGGGTCACTTTTGGTTTTATTTTTGAGGTATAAAGTGAATACAAAGCGTTGTATGTCATCTTTTTTTTTTGTGGACATTTTATAAAAAACTATGTAATTGCATGTAATCGCCAAAGCCCAAACCAACTCTACTATTAGAATATCAGATCCCCAATACACACTGCAATCCCAGTGATCAGACGATCTCACAGCAATAAGTTCTTACTTTTTGTTTGTCTGTTGTGCACAATTTGTACTTATTTCAGATTTCTTACTTTTTGGTTTAAAAAAATAAATAAAACGGCTGACAAAACAAAAAATTACCCCAAAATGTAAAAAATAAACACAATAACAACCACAAAAAAAGTAGTGGGATCACCTGCATGCCCTTTTTCTATTTTATCAATAAAATATTAAAAAAAAAAAAAAAAAAAAAAAAAAAAAAAAAGGGAAGGCTTGTGCTCCCACCATTTTTTTAAATATTTTTTAATCTATAAATAGTGGGATCACCTGCCTGTCCGTTTGTTTTTTTGCAATTAGAAATATATAATTTACTCTGAATTTAATTTTGGTTTTTAATGGTGATTGATGTATTATACCAAAGCTAGCCATATATAGCGTATATATGTTACCAGATAACAGCAGAAAGTCGCATTTTGTTTTTTTTGTTTTTTTTAACTATCAATGTCATTAAGAGATCCGATTTTTTTTATGTTTTAAAGTGTATATTTACAAATGTTGACATAAAGACAAGCAGTAATTTGGGCAGGAGGTGATATGTCATTTGGCACTGCTGATCACTCATGTTTGTCACTTTCAGGGAGGCCCAGATCGGATCTTGGCAGGATGGCATTGTCTATACCCAGCACCCTCACCAACCCTGTGGACAGAAGCTTTCCCATTGACAGGCTTCCTATTAGCCCCCCCACCATAGGCTCTTATTTCCCCTCATTGTTGCCCCATGGTCACTACCTGAGCATCTTGGCAAACCCTCATGACATGTTTAATCCCCTGAAGTCTCTGGGCAGACTGGTCAACAAATCTTCCCCATTAGCAGCCCTCAATTTCAGGGAGCTTCCCTCTGTCCTCAACCATAGTTCATCTCCCAGCCAGAACCTGTTCAGTCCTCTTCCCACTTCATACCCCATCTTCAGTAAAGTCCAGTCTGGACTGTGCAGTAAGGAGGACCCCCAGAGTAATGGACAGCCAGGGGGACCCCGAATCCATTCCAACCCCCCAGAGAGTCCCAGAGCCAACAAGAAATGTAAGGGGGTCTCTCTGAGTTTGGCCATCTTAGAGAGCACACCGAGCAGGACCTACCACTTCACAGAGGATGATCTGCACACTGTGCTCTATGGGTACACCTGTGGCACCGAGACCAAACGTGCCCAACATGGCGCCACACATGCCATCTCTGGGCTGAGGATACCAGCCAGCTCTGCAGGTCAGTACCGCTCATTGAACGCAGGTGAACGCACTCCCACGTCTACAGATTCCATTCTCCAGTGTGAACTATAACATCTGTATGAAACCTGACTATACACCTTACAATCTGTACAGTCTCCTAATGCCAACAGGTATCTAGAGCTGCCAGACTGGATACAAAGAAGGGTTTGACATGGCATGATTTTTAAGGAAATTGTGCAATAAAACTTGTAAGCTGTATGACCAGGTCCAATGATACCACCGCTTTTGGGAGAGAAAAATGTGTGTGTAATATATATATATATATATATATATATATATATATATACATATACATACATATACATACATACATAATGTGTATATCATTTTTTTTTTTTTGGTGAATGTATACAAAATATATCGTTGTAGTTTATTAACCTATTAGCCTACAGTTACCATATATATTTATATATATATTCCGGATTTATTACTTTGGGACATTTTAAAAGCTCCATATATAAAGATTATTTAAGTGTTTGTATCCAGTGTTTTTTTTTTTTTTTTTTTTTTTTAAATGGTCTTTTATTGGTACATTGTGCAGGGTTGGACTCCCAAATACTGGACAGAGAGGCACTACAACTACCAGAAGGTAGATACAAATTTATATTATATTAATTATAATAACTGATGACCATCTGTCTATTTGGAGAACCTGGTGTCTTTTTTTTTTTTTTTTTTTAATGAAATCTATGTAATTTTTTTTTCTAAGGTTTGGCCATCATGAGGACCAAGTATGGAGATATTCCAAAATCAGGGGTCTTTAGCACAAACATCATACCTAAAGGGTTGAAATTCGGTCCGTTTCAGGGGAAAGTGGTGAACACAAGTGAAATAAAAACCTATGATGATAACTCACTGATGTGGGAGGTAAGAGCAACGCCAATTCCTTTTTACTAGGGAAAAAAAACAAAAACCCTAAAATTCATTTAAAAAGACATGTAATGTAATTCGTTTTGATTTCTGAGCTATAGAAAAATATTGTATCTGATCTGAAGATCAACAAATATAATAGAAACACTGTACAGACAGGGAAATGTTGTTGCCTTTTTATTTTGTGTTATGCTGATTGGTGAGTTTGTTACATTCTGGCCAGAAAAAAAATACCAAACATTTCCAGACTTCCCTACATCCAATTAAAAAAAAAAAGAAGACTCAAACGTTCCTGAATCTACTAAAATAAATACCTAAAATAATATATTAATAAAAACAGAAAATATTAAAATTAAAGTTCTTCACAATAATGTTTGTCATATTATGATTATATTTGTTCTAGTATTATATTCTTATTATAGGTATTCAAATGACACAAAATGTAGATCACTACACCTGTTACAATTATTTCAATTCCATTTCTTAAATTTAGGATTAGCATAGAATAGAGATGTATGTCCTATTTATTTATTTTAATTTCTTCGGCCTAATTTTTATGGAATTGGTTAATCAGGTACTAGAACAAACGGTTATCGCTGGGAAAAGATGGGTGATAACAGTACAAAACGAGGACTTCAGAGAAGTTCCATTCTTGTAATGCTATTTGTAGCAACTTATATTATAACTTTCCCTGAAATATTCTAACCATATGATGAACGAAACTACAGAAATCGCAAATAAATTGTTAGCTCTTCATTTGATAATTCGTTGTCCTGAAATGCTGAGAGTTGTAGTCCATCACCCCTGGCCTAAATGCATTTATATAAAAGTCCATTACTAATGATAATATATAAGTAATAATAATTTAAAACACAATCTAACAAAAGTTGTTCTAAAAATGACTTCTGAATTTATTTAGCAATGATACAAATATTTCAGTCTCTAGTAAGACGTAATTCGTTTGGTTTTTCCTGTCAGATTTTTGAAGACGGAAGACTCAGTCACTTCATAGACGGGAAGGGGGCATGTGGGCATTGGATGGCACTAGTGAACTGTGCCCGCTTCCCCGAGGAGCAGAACCTGATCGCAGTGCAGAGTGAGGGGGAGATCTTCTATGAGACCTGTAAGGAGATCCTGCCCAACCAGGAGCTGCTGGTCTGGTATGGGGATTTCTACCTCCAGTTCCTGGGCATCCCTGTCAGTCTGAAGGGCATGGATGAGGGCAGAGACCCATTCCAGCACACAGAAGGTAAGCTCCCTGGACTAAAGACCTCTTCTTGGGAAATGGCGCATGCAGAGGCTGCCGCCTCCTGCTATTGATGAGGAATAAAGAAGTCTTTATTTAAACCTCTGTAGCTTTAATCTGCAGAAGGAAAATATAACGGTTAGCTGCTCAGTAAAGCCCATCTAAACAAGCCCATGTAATTGTTATTGACAAGAGCAGAATCGGATCCGGATTATCTGCTAAGTAATTATCTTGCAATGATTTAGGCTAATAGTTATCGGAATATACAAGCCACTGTTATCCTTCAATGTATGGATTTACCTGTGGGGTGTGCTTGGTCCTTTCCGGGCTCTTCCCAGAACAAATACGCCGATAGAAATTAGCCATGCTATAGAAAACATGGGAGAAAATGAAGCCAAACCATCCCTGCATAAAGCTGCCCATACAATTTACAATCTGATTGTGCAATCCCCTTTAGATCTCAACTTTGTAGTGCAAGAGGCTGTCTGATTTGCTACTAAATAAACAGTTTGCTTAGGTGTGCCTTATATTTCATGATTTGTTAGCTCCAAAGGACATTATAGCAATTGTACAATTTTGATTGTATAGTGTATGTCCTGCCTTAAGCAAGAATCATGATCACAAAGCTGAGAGGGGGGAAAAAATGGCAATGGTGGTTAGCTTTTTTTCCTACCATGTGCAAGGTTTTTTTTTTTTTGTTTTGTTTTCTTTTAATTTATAATTTCAGGTTTTAGATATTGCAGGAACCATGCCTTGCACTGACAAGTGCTATTCCGTTTGAATGATTTACATGCTAATTTATTAAAAGATTTAGCCCATTTTATTTTTCTCTATGCAAATGGTTTTGTATATATAAATGGCTTATTGGCATGTGTTTGCCCACTATCTGGTACTTTCTCACTCCTGTGTTTTTATGGCCACCCAGTATAGTAAAATACAGAATGTTATTACGATTATCTCTCAGTTGTGATCTTACACTGTGCTCTCTATTATATTGTGTTAATTTTACTGAAAGATTTAGGCCCCATTCACACAGAAAGAAGCGTTTCTGCACATGTTCCTGAAAATGCGCCAAATTGTGCTTGCAGTGCCATTATTTCTTAATGACACCCAAACGTGGCTACCAGATATATGCGGTTTGTCGAGCAACAAAACTAAAAATTGCCCCAAACCACACATTACAAAATATGAGGCTCCTTGCCACAAAAAAAAGGTGTAAGATCTACTTTGAGCATGTACGGCAGCCTATCCACGTGTATGGGCTTCTTTTAAGCTGTCATGCAGCAAACATGCATAAAAAGTGTGAATAAAGATATATAGTGTGTGTACACATCACACAGGTGTGAATGAAGCCTTAAGAGACACAACACTCTTGCATATGCCAAGGCAGTCAAAATGATGCTGGTAATGAATTCCCCAGCAATACCCCATTGGACACAGGGGAGGGTGTTGGGGGTTACATTAAAGTGGTGCTCTGAGGCTGAATAAACTCTCTTCTAATTGTGTCTTGCAGAGTCTGGAGAGGGATACAAGTGTGAGCGATGCGGAAAAGTGTTTGCCTACAGATATTACCGTGACAAGCACCTGAAATACACTCGCTGTGTGGACCAGGGGGATAGAAAGTTTCCTTGCCATCTGTGTCAAAGGTCATTTGAGAAGAGGGACAGACTGAGGATTCACATTTTACATGTGCATGAGAAGCACAGACCACACCAAGGTAGGTTCAGACTACTATCCCACTTTCTGCTGTTTGTATAAATGATTGCTTATTTAAGTATACACATAGAGATGGAGCTGTCGGCTGTGTTGCCCAGTGCAGCTTATCCTGATAGAGAGCTCATGGGGTGGTAGAAGGGTTGGAGTTATTACTAGGCACAATAGGCCCCTGAGCTATAAAATAGGAGAGGAGAGGCTTTTCCTTGAATAGTCATTGGCTGAATATTTTTCCCTGTCCTAAATTTTAAAGCAGGCATCTCATTAAAGGATGCTAAACCAGGTTAGGGCCAATAAAATAAGAAAACTCTTTGGTAACGAGGCTATTCTGGAAGAAAGGGTGTTGCTTTTGGTGCCAAAGCTAGAGTGCCTAAGAGCTCCTGTGATGGTAACCTGGCTCTTGATCATGTCATTGGAATACAGGTGGGTCTATAATGTCAAAACCCTCCATTGCTTTCCAATGTTCTTGGCTCTCATTAGAACATCAAGCACAGCTTAGGCATCAGGGTCTACTAATTTATTATTATTATTATTATTATTATAATACAGTATATAGCTCCGAAGGGTATGCTCAGCACTGTACAGTAGCAAACTCTTGGATTGATACTCCACTATACTAATGTAACAAGTGTTTTAAGAGCCATAATGGGGGCATAATTGGCAGAATCTGTCATGACATAGACAACTAAGCAAGAGCTGGCTGGGGCACTGGGGTTATCCACACACCCAATACATTTCATTTCTGAATTTTCCAGTCATACAGTCATAAATCAGAACCTCTGCCATCAGGTCAGACCATTCACAATCCAGCATCTAGTTTAGGTGGTTTGCTACTTTTCAGCATTTTAAACTGTAAAATTGGTTTATGAGCAGCATAAGATATTCATGAACATGAGACTTCAGAATATGGTCCCACCTGGAGATAATCATATTACCTCTGTGGTCCTTTTTAGTGCTCTTCGATATATTTCTGGTAATTAGATTGCATAAGACTCCTCATTCAGATTTACAAATGAGTTGTAAACATTAGCAAGTAATTTTGTGTGGACCCAGTCTTTGGTGTGCAGGGTACTATGATGACACTGGTTGGTCTTCTGCAATGAAAGAGTTAAGCCAAGTCACGGGTGGCTGCCATTATCTCAGCAGGATTTGGCTGCAGGCCCCATATTTAGACCTGAAAGGCTTGTAAACTGAAATAGATCCAGGTCTGGCTCAATGAGACACACTTTCATTTCACGGGCCAGCTTACATTATTTAACAGTTCAGTTGGCTGAGAAGATTTTCTTGAGTGTTCTACATATATTTGGGGCTAATGCATTGTGTGTAATATTAGAGATGTGTCTAGGATCAATACAAGGTTCTCTTCATTGTCATACACTAAACCAAGGAGGACACTACTGGAACCTGGGAACCCATTCCATCACCAGATAACATGAACCCCCAACACTGACTACTTTCAATTTCATGCATTTGGCATCCTGTGCTGGACAATGTTGAAATCCTGATGTGTAAATATAGTGACCATCTCCATTTTTTCTATAGCACTTGTGTAAGGTTTATCATGTATGTAGATGGTGTGTGTGGTCTAAATTCAGTAAGGAGTGGATTTCTATACCTAAATTTTACTCCACTCATTGATACAACATATTGGAGTTAGTGCGCACTCACACTTTCAGTTAGAAATCCCATTCATTCTCATGTGGCTTGTACAATTGTGCGTTTAAATTCTAGAACATGTTGCATTTTACTCTTATTTGAATAGAATTTAAAATTGCACAAATTGTTCATATGTCATGCAGTCTAAAATAATCAATGATAAAATACAGGGTAATTAAAGAAAAATCTCTTGTACGTTTTTTTTCTACACATTCTGTAAATCCACCATTTAGTCTTGAACATTCTTCTATTCAGCATTCATCTCACTATAATAAGTAATGTCAAAACAAATTCAAATGGAGGCAATAAACACAGCTATTGAACAACAATCATCCTCAATCAATTTGTTGCTCTAGCCACAAGCATCGACTCTCCATATGGTAACACAGCCCTGGTCATATAGTGCTGTTGAGATCCTAAACTGGTAATCATGATGACATCTGGGTCAAGCTCAATATTGGTCATGTTCTTGTCTGTTTGATCTGATTTCAGTGCACAGTGTGTGGGAAAAGTTTCTCTCAGTCGTCCAGCCTGAACAAGCACATGAGAGTCCATTCCGGAGAGAGACCTTATAAATGTGTCTACTGCAACAAGGTATGGTAACTGGCAGCCTCCCTCCTTCGCATTGTTCTCCAATTCTTTTATCTGTCAAAGGAAAATTACAAATGATTTTTATTAAGGATTGGCAGTATTGTGTACTGTAGATATTCTGTGATGGTAACCATGACCTGTAGGTACATGATAGGTGTAGAAAGATCCAGATGAAACCCCTCCTAAGCCTGAATATAACAATTCTATTCAAAAACTAAGGAAGGGTTTACAAGTCTGTACTCTGGAGAATCAAAATTCGGTTTCTTTGGAAGCCATATGACTGGTAAAGTTGAACACACATTCTGTTATCTGATTTTACATTGTATGTTAGAGTTATCAACAACTAAACATTTCTTACCTGATTCTATCAAAATTTAATGGATTGTTTAGGAAGGCCCTTGCTACATAGTAATCGAGTTATTGATAAATTCAGAAGACATTTTACAGGGATTGTTCAATCAGATTGGAGGTCAACTGTACATTGAAAGGTGTGTTCACACTTCATTTTCCTGCAGTGCATGTCCTTCAAATTGAAATCCTATTCATTCCAAAATAGGATGCAGTTTAGAGCATTCTTAAAGTGGAACTAAACTCTTTCAATCAACATTAACTATTTTTAATCCTTATGTTGCTAGCATTAGTACATAGATTGGAAGGTATATTATATTTACTTGCTTTACACTTATTTTTTACATTTCTTCAGTTGTGTCTTGGTTTCTGGCCTAGGCCACAATGATCTCATACATCCAAGGAGTCTTCATGGGCATTTATTTTTCATCTGGAGGAGGGGGATTTCTCAGCTAAGCACACTCTCCTGCCTGAGTTAAGGGTAGATGGATTCCAGGAAATCCTATATGAATCATTTTCTCTTACTCAAAAAGACAGCAGCCAACAAACGAGGGTGTTTTTCAAAGTGATTTCTAAAAAATAAATAAATAGCACTGAGACATGGATGGGTGGGTGCGTTTGTTTTTGAATATTAAAATGAATTGTATAATGTTTTAGGTGCTCAGATACAGTGTGCAGTTCAGCTTTAAATACTACACTAGTGTGTGTTTTATGTGCAGGGCCACTGAAATCATTTAATCATTTCAGCCGGAGATCTTCTTTAAATAAAAAGTCAGCAATGTCTGTATCAGCCTTTCCTTTACATTTGGCTTGCTGGAGTAATGTTCATGTGTTTTCCTTCCTTTTTAGGCATTTACAGCATCCAGTATCCTTCGCACTCATATCCGGCAACATTCGGGTGAGAAGCCTTTTAAGTGCAAACACTGCGGCAAAGCCTTTGCCTCTCACGCTGCCCATGACAGCCATGTGCGCCGCACTCACATTAAGGAGAAGGGATACAGCTGTACACTGTGTGGACAGAATTTCCTGGAACTGGAGGAGTTCCGATATCACATGCAGATCCACTCTGCTCTCTAACCAATCCCTCCACCCATTGCTGCTACCTGCCTGTCTGTCTTGTTTGCACTGTGCCAACTATTTATTTTATTCTGATTATTTATGTCTATATTATTTCACAGCCTATAATTTATCGAAACAGTTATTTTATCAATGTGGTAAATATTTCTCTATATTCTAAATATATGCAGAATTTACAAAGTTTCCAACTCTATGCTTTAAGTTGATAGAGCAGAAAATACCAAGTTTCTTTAGTAAGCTTGGTCATTTGAATATTGAAATGAAAAACTATATGTGTAAGATGCTGTAAATATTCAGATACTGCTTTTCTTTAAGTGTTTTTCCATTTGTAGGAATGAAAATTAATTTTATTGACTAAAATATGATGACTGTAAAGGTACTTATAGCTGTGAAATGTTTGCCTCCCGAATCGTGACTGTTTGTGTATATGAGTACCAGCAGAACTCTGATTAAGAAATTTTGGTGGGTGGTTGATTGACTGACTGGTTTTTGAATTTTTGTGGTTCATCAACTGTCTCCTTCTGCATTTGACTGTCCTCTGTGTTCACTCCCTCTCCATGTATGCGCAGGCAATGTGAGCCTGCATGTTCATGGTGCAGTCGCTGTGAATAATTGGTGGTCAGATCTTATCTCCACGCTTGATTTCAGGGAGTCTACATCACAGCCAGGCAAGTAGCATATTCAGAGGGAGGAAGTCTGCAGTGCTATCCTTCGATTTTTCTGTTTCTCTCATGACAGGTTTTCTTTAAAGAACAGCAGTCAAAGAAATTGGCCCAAGTTATCCCTAAAATGTCCTTTAGTAATCCTATCTATAAGTTCTAATAGTTGTATTCATGTCCAAGTGGCATATGGGTTTAATGCTCTATAGTTTGAACTATGGATGCCATTGGTTGCAAATCCTAATAAGGTGAACTGTCCAAAAAAAAAAAAAAAAATAATTACATAGTACATTTGCACTTGTATCTGAAAAAGATGACCTATTGTGAAAATCAATTAACATTTAAATCCAGGTTTTTGGTTCTGAACAAATACAACAATTGTTGACATATTCTAGTCTCGTCTGATCACACAGCCCCAGTATGTGAACCTCACGTGGGAGGGTCTTTCCAAAATATTGGGTCTTTGGGGCAGAGTTATGGGATCTTTTTTGTTCATGGAACATGAAAAGATCATGCTTGACCCAATGGGCCTTCTTTGACCGTTTTTTGGAGTTTGCATGTAATAGATGAGTTTGTCAAATAATGGTTCGCTAATTGTGCAAAGCTTTAGCAGTTCCTTGTACTGCCTTGGCCAATGCTATCAAGCAGTATGTTTTATTTTCAGATCTAATGAATAATGTTGGTTATGTAATTTACAAAAGCCACACAGATATTGAGATGCTGCCCAGTAATCTGGATTGTATGGCACAGAAACGTCAAAGACTTAAAATGACTCTGCTAAAACATGGATTTATTAGGATATTCTGGTAAATGTGACTGTAAGGCAGTGTTTCTCAACTCCAGTCCTCATGGACCCCCAACAGGTCATGTTTTCAGGATTTCCATTATTTTGCACAGGTGATTTGATCAGTTTCACTGCCTTAGTAATTACCACAGCTGTTTCATCTGAGGGAAATCCTGAAAACATGACCTGTTGGGGGTCCATGAGGACTGGAGTTGAGAAACACTGCTGTAAGGTGACCTTCTATTGTCTTCAGAGTCATCTCATAAAAATAGATACCTGTGGATGTTGGCAAGATTTTAGTTTATTAAAGTGAACCATACAATAAAATAAAAGCACTTCATGGGAACAATGGTTATCTTAACGCATGGAAAAAAGATGATAAAGCTTTTGACATGCTTGCATGTTAAAAACCTATTGGTAAAGAAGGTTGTGACATCTAAAAGCAATGCTCTACGTAAGAACAGGGAGATGTCTCATCTCCTCTTGTTTAGTCTCATGTGCTATAATCAAAGATGGCCATTTTTTTTTCTGTTTCTGCTTGAAATATGAAGAAAATTGTAGGAGCAGCTAGTGCTGTCTTTCTTAACCTTTTCAACATACAGGAACCCTTGAAATAATATTCCAGTCTCAAGGAACCCCTGCTAAAAATTACTTTAACTACTACTCATGATACAGTGATCTGATGGTCAGTGGGAAGAATGCTTCTTACACTTCTGGTCAATGGGAAGACTTTACCCCTTACAGATGGCTAAAAAGATCAGAGGTGTTAGTGGGAGCCTATCTGAGAGTCAGAAATTGCTCAAGGAACCCCTGGTAACCTCTGGAAGAACCCTGGTTGGGAAGCTGTGAGCTAGAGTGCTTAAAGCCACTTATACACAGATAGAAAAGGGACACCAAATTCTGTTCCTTCTTGGCTGCAGGCAGACCAATTAGGAACAAATTGTCATGACCAAACCTGCCAAACATAGATGCTTAGTGGCTGAGAGGGTGCCTACTGACTTTGAAAGATGGTGATGCCTCATATGTGGATTATTTGCTGAGAGGTTTGGGGGTTCCCTTCTTGGCTGTTTACTGGCTCCTGTTAGCACCTCTCAATGACATGTGAATTCATTGTGTATACTTTCTAGAGCTTGTTTTCATGTTCTCTGAGAGATTATAATTGTGTCTTGTCATTTTATATAAGCTTCAGCACTTTGATGATCATTGATCTTCTGTCCTGAGATGTAAAATTGGATCTCGCTGCCTTTTATTTTAATGTAATAAAAAGCCTGGATATTGTTTGTAAATGTGGAGATGCAGAGAGTATGACTTGTCATTAAATTTAATGCTTTGACGTTTAACCACATGTCTGGACTGCATCTTATTTTTTTCATTGCATTGAATATTGAAAGTTGTACTTGTCAATTTAAATTTGAGTTCCGCTTGCATGTTCTGTGTGGAGATGTATGGTTTAGAATTAGTGCTACTAAACCAAGAAGCAATCATTTATTATATTGCAGCTTATTTCTTACATATCTTGTTATTTAACACTAGCAGGGCTGATAACAATGATAAGCTTTTATTTAGTCATATAAAACTCATTCCTAAAAGGAAAAAACAATTTGCTGTAATGGCTTAGAAAGTATTAGCTGGAGTTTGTCTTCAGCTTGTTTAGGTGTACTAGCAGATTTAGATACACTAACACTGCTGCCCCCTGCCCAAACTGACATTGATGCTGTCCAAAGGTGCTGCCTGTGCTCATTCATCCCTAGTAGGGGCACGCTATTGCAGTAGGTGTGTTACTGGCCGAATCACCAGGTGAAAACAGAGGAAATGGCCTAAGAATAGAGAACTGTTTCATCTAATGGTTAGTAAACTGCAATATATTACATTAATGGTTAGGGTTTAATACCGCTTTAAGTACCGCTTTAAGTACAGTGCAATAAAAAAAGATTTGGAGCAGACTATTTGAAGAAAGCTGTTTGGTTTGAACATGCAAATTGTTTTCATGTTTGTTGATAATGTTGAATAAAAAATAAAAATGTGCAGAGTCCCATATTACCACACCTACAATTACAAAGGTTGACATCTTATCACTAATTTTATACATGCAAGAAACCAATGTTAAATTCCACCTCACACATAACCTACAGTGTGACCAAAAATTCATAAACAATATTACATAAAACTGAAAGGTTAAAACACTAATAAACATAAAAAGACCACTCCTAATGTCCAATTACGTTCCAAAAAGGACAATCCACTTAAAATATGAATGCTATGTACTGTGACCTCTGCATGCAGTGATCCCAGGGCACCAAATAAACATAAGTGCCACCTCCTTACCGAATTACCAGGAGCTCTAAGCAAAAGAGATCAAAACCGCTTAAACCTATATGTAAGATAATTTTCAGGGTCCACTGCTGATTTCCAAACCCATCTAATCAATTCAAAACTTTTCAAGAATTCCCAGCTTTTCCTCAGGGATAGTAGAAAGAAAACAATATGTTGATAGGGCCTTTTTGGTGTTTGGGTGCTCAAAGCGCAGCATTCACTTGTTACTAATCATCGGTTCTGTTGTCAGTACACTGCTGCATTGTTTTAAAAAGAAAAGGTGCAAGAACAGTGTGCACCATATCACATTATAACACATTCACTGCTCCCCATAGATAAAATAAATGATAGGTTTATACCAAAAAGGCCTGTAATCCTTCATTGAAATGGTTCTGCTGCCGGCCAATTTTATATTGCTTTATTCTCTGGAGTATTAAACTAAAGCCCCAGCCTGTGTTCTGTGTCTTTAGTGAATTTGGGCCTAAGCGTGATTTGTCAGTAGTCTCATAGGTTCCTAGATTATTAATGCCTCTAAGTCGTATATGTGAATGGATTAGAACTTTAGCAACTATGCATGGCCCTGAGTCCCTTATCTTCTTCAGCAACTCAAAGCTGTACAGGCCTGAAGCAGGGGAAAAAAAGATACAATAATGCCAATCAGCTTTTCCAATTGTTTTAAAAGGAATAGCATGGTGTAGTGGAGTGGGTGGGCATAGACACTTCCATTTTCAGAGCGTTGGGTAATGTGCTGTAAATTAGGTGTGAGAGTGAACTATATTGCCAAAAGTATTAGGACACCCCTCCATATCATTGGATTCAGGTGTTCCAATCACCTCCATGACCACAGGTATTTATAATAAAGCACTTAGGCATGCAGGCTGCTTCTATAAACATTTGTGAAAGAATGGGTCGCTCTCAGAAGCTCAGTGAATTCAAGCCTGGTACCGTGATAGGTTGCCACCTGTGCAATAAGTCCATCCATGAAATTTCCTTGCTACTAAATATTCCACAGTCAACTAGTAGTGGTATTACAACAAAGTTGAAGAAACTGGGAACAACAGCAACTCAGCCACGAAGTGGTAGGCCATGTAAAATGACAGAGCGGGGTCAGTGCATGTATGCACATGCATCTGCAGAGTCAATAGCTAAAGACTTCCAAACTTAGTGTGGCCTTCAGATTAGCACAACAACAGTATGTAGAGCGCTTCATGGAATGGGTTTCCATGGCCAAGCAGCTGCATCCA